CCTATATAGGATCCGAACCCACGGCCTTGGTGTTATCAGCACCGCACTCTACCAAGTGAGCCGCGGGCCGGCCCCTAGTGCAGTACTTCTACCATAGTGTTTTATAACTGTCGGGTCTGTCCTCCTGCATCCCCGTGAAGTAGCATTCGCATGCAAGTCCCCAGCACAAGCCGCCTGCGGTTGGTTCCTTGTTGACCGATTTCTAGGACAGTGGTTCTTGACTGGGGGTGATTTCATCCCTTAGGGGACATTTGGCAATGTCTGGAGACACTGATAGTCGTGACTAGTGGGGCATGTGCTACTGTCATCTAGTGGGTGGAGGCTGGGGTGCTATTAGACACCCTCCAGTACACAGGACAGCCCCACCATGTTGTCCAGCCCCAAATGGCAGTAGTGCTGAGGGTGAGAGACCCTGCTCTAGGATGAAGTGCAAAACCTTAGGGTGCTAAAGAAAAAATGTCTCAACAAAAAGATGAAATTATTTAAATACGGAGTTCTCAAGTAATGTATAAAGATTTTCAGCGTTGAAGAGCTTCATTTTCACTCTAAACTGTCCCAGTTCTTTTTGAGGCTTATTTTTAATATTTATTCAGAAGCTGTCTTGTGGAGAAAACATGTGCCCCCAGTGCTTATGAATGGGTTAGCAGGTACCTGCAGTGATTGAGACACAAAGCTGAAGTGGTGAAAAGGATAGTAGAACTAAGCTCTTCATTGACTTTAGAAATCTTGTCATCTAGGGCTGGCCTGTGGCTCACTGGGGAGAGTGTGGTGCTCATAACACCAAGGCCATGGGTTCGGATCCCTATATAGGGACGGCCGGTTAGCTCACTCGGGAGAGCGTGGTGTTGACAACACCAAGTCAAGGGTTAAGATCCCCTTACCAGTCACCTTTAATTTAAAAAAAAAGAAAGAAAGAAAGAACGAAATCTTGTCATCTATTTCTTCTCATTTGCAGCCTGCCTAATAGCAGGGGACTACCCAAACAGTTTTTTTTTAAGGAGGTTTGGGGATAGATGGTGTCCTTTTTTTTTTTTTGTCTTTTTTCGTGACCGGCAACGGATCGCAACCCTCAGTGTCGCGCCCGCACCGGACCGGGACCGGCAACGGGATCGCAACCCTCGGTGTTGCGCCTGCACCTCGCTCAGCCAGAGAGCGGCCGGTCTGCATGTGGGATCCGAACCCTCGGCGGGAGCGCCGCCACACTCTCAAGTGACGCACTGTAGCAGTGCGCCACCGGGCTGGCCCGATGGTGTCTTTTTTAAGACTCTTAAAAAGAATTTAACTGTATAATCCTCAGAAAAGGCCTTTTGTTTTATGTAGGTTAGCAAATGATGAAAACTCTAGTGCTGCCCTCAACACCAGTGCACACATGCACACACACACCCACAAGCAGTAGCCCTCATATACTTGTATCCTCTTCACTGTCTTCAGCCAAACATCTACTACTGCGTCAGGGACACAGTCCACATTGATCTATCAAAATAGTTAAGGCTCCCACATGAGGGACCTCTTTCCTACATTATGGATTGACTGGGTACAGAAGACCCATTCAAATGAGTGTACCAAATGATCTACATTAAGTAAATTCACAATTTAGCGTAGATACTGAATTAAGTGGGGCTGCTAATATATTAGAAAATTAGAATATTGAAGGATGAATTGTTGCTGACTCTAGTACAACATCAGACTGACTTGCAAAACCAAGTAATTGGAAAGTAACGTCCTATCATACTGAAAAGTTTTAGTGTATAGGCAAACACAAAAAACACCAGAAAGAAGGTTTTGATTCTTCTCTTCAGGGTTGGCTATGTTATATGAATTTCTGTTTTATAATCCAATTTTCAGAAAACTCATATTTCGAAAGTTCAGAAATTTGAGTAGGAGAAAAAAGAAATGTTTTAGGAAATGTGAGGAAAAAGAGACAGTAACTCATATTCTCAAATAGTCCCTGTTGATGCTAGCAATTTCAAACTAGTCTCTGGAAAATATTATACCGGTATTGGAATTGGGCTGGAGAAGTCGTTTTCGTCTTTACCAGGGAAACTGCTTTGGTAAACGAAATGGTTTACATCTAAAGAGACAATTTTTTTGTATTTGGTTTATGGCAAATAGAAAATATTATTTAGCTCCACATTAAATTTCAAAATCAAGAAATACTTTTTTTTCAGTAGGTGTTAGATTACAGTGACGGGTCGGCCTTTCAGGTTGGTATTAATTTGTTCAGTTTTGGAACTGCCTATACATGTAGCACATGTGTCTTTTAGTTTGCTGAAGGAAGATTGAAATATCTGTACTGATTTTGGTGGGTTCTCTGAGATGATGTCTGGCTTACAGTTGGTTTAACCTCTTCTTGTCTTTGTTACTTTGGGATTTCATGTCAAAACAGTTTAAGCAACAGATACTATATTTAAGAAGCTGTTTCAAGGATTATAATTGTAGAGAATAGAATGATAGACATATGTAAATGAGGACATGAATAAAGAATATTTAATTGCATTCCTCTGAATTTTTTCAGCCAAGTTCTACAGAAATTTTGGAGTATTCATCAGATAGTGAAAAAGAAGATGACTCAGAGAATGTCCTGTTCATTGATTCAGAATCCCCTCACAAATACCATGTGGACGTTGGAACAGATGCAAGACAAATTGTGGAGACACTCATAGACCCAAGGGTGAAATCGACAGAGGACATCTTGTGTACACCCCGGAAACAGACAGCTAAGTTTCCCAGGACTCCAGAAAATTCAGGAAAGAAGACGAAGCTTTTAAGGTTAAATTATACCTTTTAAAATTCTTTTTTCAGCTTTTCTGTTTTTTTAAGAACCCAAATATCTAAAATGCTAATTTAAAAATACTAGTTTTGGGGATGGAAAATTGGCAGAATATAATTGTAATTCCAAAAAGCCATTATTGAAGTCCTAAGTTCTGGAGCTGATTTATGGAATTGTTCATTCAAGTTGAGCATTCACAGATTCAGTCATGACCAGCTTACATGACTGCTTTCCTTAATGGAGATTTGTTATTTGGTTTATCAAATTTTATTGAGTACTAGTGTTCCAAGTGATGCCTTAGATGTTAGAGACAAGAGAATCATTGTTCTGTTCTTAAGTGACTTATAGTCTAAAGAAGGAAATAGAAATAATATAGACCATGTCAGGTTACCTTTATGAGTGTGCTGCGAGAGGCTGGCCAGGGCAACACCTCTGAATGCAAAGAAGTATGAGAGCAGAGACTCATGGGCAACAAGCAGCTGGTGTGCCTGCGGAGAGCCACAGTGGAGGAGCACTAGAGTGTCAGTCAGCACTGGGCATGGGGGGCCAGGCAGGGAGCATGACTGAGCCTGTAGGGAACTGTCCCAAACCTGTGTCACACAAGGTCTCTTTGTTGGTTTGTTTTATGTAAGTATGCATGTATTTGTATTTTATTTATTTTATAATTTACTTGTACATATTTGTGGGGAACAGTGTGTTGTTTCAATACATGCATATACTCCACAGTGAATCACTTAGAGTAGATAGCATAGTTTTGTACCTGTTAGTCCAGCACTTTTTCTACTCCTCCCCCCCTCCCCTCCTGGCCTCTGATAACTATTATTCTCTCTACTTCTATGAGTACCACTTTTTTCTTATATTCCACATATGAGTGTGATCATACAGTATTTGTCTTTTTGTGCCTGACTTATTTCACTTAACATGATGGCTTCAGGTTCCATTCATGTGGCTGCAAATGGTAGGGTATCATTTTTTCACAGCCGAATAGAATTCCATTTTGTATATATACCACAATATTTTATCCATTCATCAATTGATGGTCATTTAGATTGATTCCATCTCTTGGCTATTGTGAGCAGTAAATATGGGAGTGCAGTTGTCTTTTTGGTATATTGATTTCATTTCCATTGGGTATATACCCAGTAGTGGGATAGCTGGGTCATAAGGTATGTGTCTATTTTTAGTTCTTTGAGGCACCTCCATACTGCTTTCCACAATGGATGTACCAATTTACATTTCCACCGGCAATGTAGGAGAGTTCCCTTTTCTCCATGTCCTTGCCAGCATTTGTTATTCTCTGTCTTATTGATAATAGCCATTCTAACTGGAGTGAGATGATATCTCAGTGTGGTACTAATTTGCATTTCCCTGGTAATTAGTGATTTTGAGCATTTTTTCCTGTGCTTATTGGCTGTTTGTATGTATTCTTTTGAAACATGTCTGTTCAGGTCCTTTGCCCATTTTTAAATTGTGTCATTTATTTTTTTGCCGTTAAGTTGTTCGAGTTCCTTATATATTCTGGATATTAGCACCTTGTGTGATGTGTACTTCACAAACACTTTCTCCCATTCTGTAGGTTCTCTCTTCACTTTGTTGGTTGTGTCCCTTGCTGTACAGGAGCTTTTTAGTTTGATGTAGTGCCATTTGTCTATTTTCACAACTCTCCAGGGTTGGATGTGTATATACTTAGAATTGTTATATCCTGTTGTCTAATTTATTCCTTTGTCATTATATAATGACCTTCCTTATATTTTTTTACTTTCTTTGGCTTTAATCCATTTTATCTGATATAAGTATAGCTTCTCCTGCTATTTTTTGGTTTCCATTTGCATGAAATATCTTTTTCCATTCCTTCACTTTCAGTTGGTGTGTGTCTTTATAGGTGAAGTGAATTTCTCATAGGTATCATATTGTTGGGTTTTTTTGTTTGTTTGTTTTTGTTTTTTGTCCTTTTCGAGACCGGCCGCACCGCGCTCAGCCAGTGAGCGCTGTGAGCGCACAGGTCATCCCTATATAGGATCCGAGCCCGCGGCGGGAGCGCTTCCGCGCTCCCAGCGCCACACCCTCCCGAGTGCGCCACGGGCTCGGCCCTCATATTGTTGGTTTTTGATTTATAATCCGCTCAGCCACTGTGTGTCTTTTAATTGGGACATTTAACCCATTCACATTTAGAGTTATTATTGATATACAGGGACTTGTTACTGACATATTGCTCTTTTTTTCTGGTTGTTTTGTAGGTCCTTTTTAACCTATTTTATAGTCTTAAACTGTCTTCCTTTTTGGTTAAAATGAGGCTTACAAAAAATATGGTTATAACAGATTATTTTAGACTCATAACAACTTAACTTTTTTATCTAAGAAAAACAAAATACCAAAGCCAACTCTACTCTTGGTGTCATTTCCCCCCAATTTTTGACATTTTGTTGTTTCAAGATACGTCTTTTAATATTGCCTGTTTCTTATATGGGTGTTGTATTTGTTGTTGTCTTGTTACATTTGTCCTGCAGTCTTCATACTTAGGATATAAGTGTTTATTCACCACCCTTACCATACTGGAGTATTCTGAGGTTGTTTGTGAACTTACTTTACTAATGAGTTATGTACCGTCAGATGTTTTCTTGCTACTCCTTAGTATCATCTTCTTTCAGATGGAAGACTCCCTTTAGCATTTCTTATAAGGCATGTCTAGTGTTGATGAATTTCCTTAGCTTTTGTTTATCTGGGAAAAACTTTATTTCTCCCTCACATTTGAAGGTTAGTTTTGATGGGTACAGAATCCTTGGCTGACAGTTTTTTCCTTCAGCACCCTGAATATATCATCACATTCTCTTCTGGCCTGTAGGGTTTCTACTAAGAAATCCATTGAGAGATATATTGGCACTCTGTTGAATGTTATGTGTTTCTTTTCTCTTGCTGCTTTTTTGTATGATTCCTTTGTCTTTTGTTTTTAATAATTTGCTTATGATGTTCCTTGGGGTGTTCTTCTTTGTTCTGAATTTGATTAGTGACCTCTGAGCTTCCTGTACCTGACGCTGTCATCTTTCTCTATATTTGGGAAGTTTTCAGTCATTGTTTTCTCGAATATGCTTTCTAGGTCTCTTCCTTTTTCTTCTTTTCTGGGTATGCTGATTATGTAGGGTTGTTTCACTTGAGGGAGTCCCATCTTTGCCGTATGTCTGTATATTTGTTTTCTTTTTTCTTTTTGCTCCTTTGATGGGTTATTTCATATGTTCTGTCTTCAAGCTCACCAATTCTTTCCTGTATTTGATCAGTTCTCTGTTGGAGCTTTATATGGAGTTTTTCAATTCAGATAATGTATTCCTTATTTCTAGAATTTCTGGGTTTTAAAAAAAGTGATTCTATACCTTTGTCATGTTTCTTGTTGTTTTCCTAAATTGTTTTTTAGATATCATTTAATTTTCTATCTGTGTTTTTTTTTGTGACTCCCTGAACATCCTTAAGAGGGTTATTGTGAATCCTCTGTCATGCATTTCATAAATCCACCACTGTCCTGGGTCCATTGCTGGTGTTTTGTTTGTTTCATTTGGTGGTGTCATATTTCTCTGTTTTTTGTTGATCTTTGTCTCTTTACGGTGATGCCTGGTCATTTGAGGAGACTGCTACCTCTCCCAGGTTTTATTGGTGTTCTTTGGTGGTGCTCAACCTTTTCTGGTTTATATCAGAGATCTATCTCTGGTCTTTGGTTGGTTTTTTTTTTTTTTTCTTCTTCTTCCCATTCTGTGGTGTATTATTAGCTACTACTGCTGCTTAAACTCTGCACTGGAACTAATTTGGTGTCCTGTTTTTAATTCCCAAGTTGGGAGATCTTTTCACCAGAACTGAGCTCAGTGCTTGAGCTAAATTGCTGCTTTGTATTTGATTCTCTGGGGAAGGCTTTTTGTGCATAATGGAGTTTAATTGTTGGCCTTTTAGCCACTTCTGGATCTTGTGAGGTCCCCACAGACACAACTGCGCTGCATTGGAATTCTGCCCTAGGACTGAGTCTTTCCTATAAACTTCAGCCCATGCAGTTCTGTTGCCCTGACCAGTCACCACTGAGTGTGCCCATGCCAATCGTAAGGCAGCTCAGCTGCCGCACTGTGCCCCAGTGTTCCCCCAGCAGGCCAGCCTTCCGTTCCCCAGCACTCCAAATGCTTCCTGTGGGGCATGCCATGCACAAGTCTCTTATGATGACTCACTGACCTCTGGTGTGGTGCTCTGAGGCCCTTTTCTCCCTTCCATGCTCCAGGCAGCATCACACAGAGGGCATTGCTGCAGCTTTGCCCCTCTGCTGGCCTCCAGGTACTGCAGTTGCTCCTGCACCACACCACCTTGGAAGCGGCTGGGGCTCGGAAAGGTCAGAGTGTTCCCTTCTCAGTCTCACTGCTGCCTCTCATAGCTTCATGAACTCTGCAGGTCTTTCCTCCTTTTCCCCGAGCTCCAGTGGTCCCAGAATGGCAGTCTTAGCTTTTTAATAGTTGTATCAGTTGTTGCAGGGGAATGATAGTTTATTGGTTGTGGTGGGGAATGATACTGGGGATTGTCTGTTCTGCCATTTCGATGTTCTTTGTTTTTTAAATAAGAACAAAAAATGCCAAACAAAAACAAAATGAAAGTGAGGGGGAACCTGTGGGAAGCCAGTACCACAAGAACAAAGGTAGTAGAGTTTTGAGTTGAAGGAGTTTCAGTAGAAAGAGTCATGTGGCAATGAAGAACTCAGGTTCTGGATCCACTGACGAGAGTTCCACAGCAAGAGAGGGTGAGCCCGGGGGCATTGTGGGCAGACCATGGCTGATGTAGGATCTGGGTTCCAGGCAGGGGCGCCTCAGCTGCTAGTGGTCTGGAAGGGATCGAGCATCTAAAGAGGTTGCACAAAATTGGAGAGACAGGCACTGAGGACAACGGGAGGGCCCAGTGCACAGAGAGGTTGGGATCATGGCTCTGTCAAGTGTCCTGAAGAGGAAGTGGGGGTGGGGGAGGCCTGTCTTGAGCGAAAGAG